CTGATGAGCCTAGCTTAGTTTCTCTGTTCCCTATTGGTAGAACTTCTAGACCTTCCCACAAACATATAAAGATTTATAATCTAAAACTCAGGGGATGCAAGCCAAGCTATTTGCCCAGTGGGGAAGCTAAAGTTAGGAGGAGAGGAGTAAAGGGTTGAGGGCGGGAAGAGTTTGCTGCTTCAGGAACAGTAAAATAGGTATGGTTATTGTGGGAACTCAGACCTGTGTTGGACGCTTTTATACTTAGTGTCTGGTTTCATGTTGCTTTTAATTTTTGATAGCTGAGGGAGTGGCTTCATCATTTTCAGGGTTAAATACCTGGCTGTACTCCTGAACTCTAGGATACATTTGCGTCCAGGCCCATCTGGCTCTGCCTTTACGTCTCAGAAGGGGTAAAAGAAACCTTAATGAAGGGCCTTGTCCTCCAGGTCCGGGTTCCTGCCTTGTGAACTGCCTGGTTCCCAGGCACGGGGGGCCCGGGCCCTTCCCCTCCCCCGTGCTCTACCTTCTCTTCATGACCCGCACGGATTTAAAGTATGGAACCCGCCACCATCCCGAGTGCCTGAGAGATCTCTGCAGGTTGCCTGGCTTACGATTGTCCCGTACCTCCAGCCATCCTGTCCCTCATCTGCACTTTCCCAGTATCAGCTATAGGTCATTCCTCATCTCTGTGGTGCCAATACTGACCATGTCCAACTGAGCCTCTTCCAGGGCACAAAGGGACAGTTTCAGGTCTTTCCCCTGGACTACCCATCTGGCCACATTACTACATCAACACTCCAGAGTTCAAGAATGCTATTTGTACCCTTCTTGAGCTATTTCTTGTGTAAAACAGGCCTTTGTGGGCTGGACCCGGAGCCTGCATAACCTTCATCAAGGGGCTGCATATGTCAGCTTCTAAGTCAAGTTTTAAATACGTGTTACCTTGTTTAATCCTCACCACCATTCTATAAAATAGGTATTGGTGTTAGTCCCCCTTATACAAAGGAAGTCACTAAAGGGGCGCCTGGGGGGCTCAGTTGGTTGAGTGTCCAACTCCGGCTCAGATCATGGTCTCACACTCTTGTGAGTTTGAGCCCCATGTCGGGCTCTGTGCTGACAGCTCAGAGCCTGGAGCCTGCTTCAGATTCTGTGTCTCCCTCTCTCTCTGCCCCTCCCTCACTCACACTCTTTCTCTCAAAAATAAAACATTAAATTAAAAAAAACTAAATAAACTCGCTAAAGCGTAGAGGAATTACAGAATTTGCCCATGACTGCACAGCTAGAAAGTGGCGGAGCCAGGGTTCAGACCTAGCTCTGACTTGGCAAAACCCAGGTGTATCTGCGGCTACCACATATTTCGTATTACTAATGTGTAAATTATCTCAACAAACTGTATCTCCAGTTTGTCGATGTCATACTAGCATATACTTAGCAAATGAGAGTGGATCCCTATTTTGATTACCTTAAAAATCAAATATTCAGAATATTTTCTTTTGTTGAAAGAAATCTATATCTGTGGTATAACTTTTATGGGAAAGAAGGCAGGACTTTGAGCAGGCCATCCAAGATAAGTCCTGAATAAAGAAATAGGAGGGTGGGGCACCTGGGTGGCTTGGTCAGCTGAGCGTCTGACTCTTGATTTCAGCTCAGGTCATGATCTCAAAGTTCATGAGTTTGAGGCCTGCAGGGGACTCTGCACTGACAGCGTGGAGCC